TACATTTTCCACCAAAGGCTGGTTGTAAACTATGCTTTTTAATTTTGCATTCATTACTGTGTGCCATAAATTCGCAGCATTTGGACATAGCCACTTGTTGTAAACTAGTTAACTCAAGCATAGAGTGGAACTCAACTGACTTCTGGTCCTTTGCCTAGAGCTACTGAGTAGATGATCTCTTCCCTTTTAACTCTTAAAATCCCATGTTAGTATCACTTACACTCCATTGTGTGCAAAGCACAGTATGGTGAAACCAAAATGTAATGTATGCTCTAAGGGTTTACAGTCTATTTGAAAAATTAGACAAAAATGACTTGGTTTTTATTACAGTACATTCCTAGAGATGGTATAATACAGCATCTTTTTTCCTTTAAGGAATATATTAGGGTTATTGCATTCTTGACCATTAGATTCATCCAGTATATCTAATATTTGATAAAAAATGGTTATTAAAATAAAGTAAAGCAAGATAAGCCCTACAAAGGATTTTAAATATCATTGGCAAATTAATTTGCCAAATTCTATGAACCATAGGTATGTGATAAGCATAAATATATAAATACATATTGACTATTCTTATTGTCCTTTAATATAGACTTTTAAAATTCAAGTTCTGTGTGATAAAGATGACCCAAATAAAACTATGTTGGTTCATCAGCCTGGAATTAGAAAGATTTTGGTAATTTCAGAACAATGCTTTTTTCCTCTACATAAATTTTGTTGTGGTGGCAAAGAAACATATTCAGAACATCCTACTTACCCTAAATTTGAATGGGAGAAATAATGCATACCGTTTAGGAAATGGACAACACTTAGTCCAGGACCTAAATAATGGCTAATTCTGGTTCTACTCTTTGTTATTTATTCTCTAGAGTCTAGCTTAAATCCTACTATTTTCACGAAAACATCCTCAACTGTCAATACCCACACTGCTTTTTCTATTTTTCTAATTTATATCTTTCTTAGAAACACTAGGGTAAGAAGTGGATGAGACTGGGATTAATGTTATACTACCTGTTCTGTCATTTGGTTTGGTGTCATGTACTTGCTATGTTAATCTGGCAAGCTAGTTAACCTTAATAATCTTTATAAAATGAGGTTGATAAAAACAGTGTCTGCTCCTAGGGCCATTGTGAAGATTGAGAACATTTGTATACAGCTGTTAGCAATTTGTATTATGTATACTATATACTTAATAAACACTACCTATTACTGTGTGTAATTACTACTATACAGTTGCCTCCTTAATTCATATGTTTTGTCTCTGCCTAGAGTGTTCTGGAATTTGTAAATAGTTAAGTACACATGTTTTACTACTGAGGATGGAGGTTAAAGAGGGAGAGGTAGTATGGTGACTTGAGGCATCTACTACATATTTCATAAGGGAAGTGGTATGATTAAAATCAACTATGGTAATAACCTCTGAGGGATTATTTTGTATTCAGTAATAAGAGTGTGAGGAACAGTGGAGAGGATTAGGAGAAGGTGAGGTATTATTGGTGCTGGCAATGGAAGTCAGAAGGTTTTAAGGTAGTAGAAAAGGTTTGTTTATACCAGGGAGCAGGAGGAATTAAAAGCTGTTGTATTAAATGGAATTGAGAGAGTGCTGGTAGAAAGGTTGAAGTTAAGGTTTTATACCACACCATCTACTAATGGTATAGTAGATGCAGACTACAAATTCATGGTCTTCAATTCTGACAGGATTCGTCTTAGAAATTAACCAGTGAAAGGGAGCTTTAATTTCACCTTCTCCACCTTCTCTTGTTCACTAGAGAAGAAATTGAAAAGGATGACATACTACCCAATCATCTAAATCAATAAAATGACACTTTGCTGAACAGTTTATTCTTTTCATGACTCCTCAAGAATATAATCCTACGTGAGTTACAAATACCTACATATAGGCATATAGGAAATAACAGGAGATAGAGGAATTTTTAGGGCCTAAACCTTCTAGAAGGAAATAAAAGGATTTCTTTCAGAATAGTTTTTATATGTGACATCTATATACACATATATGTAGATAGATACATCTATATATATACATACATATAATTGAGTAGTATTGAGTTATAAAGAAGAATGAAATCTTGCCATTTGTAGCAAAATGGATAGAACTAGAGAACATTATGTTAAATTAAGTAAGTCAGACACAGAAAGACAAGGACTTTGTGTTCTCTCTCATATGGAAACCAAAAAGAGTTGTCTTAAAGATAAAATAGTGATTACTGGAGATTGTGCTGGCAGGGGAGAGGCTGGATGCAATCAGTGTACTCTGAATTCATATGTGAAATGCAAATTTGTTAAATAAAATGGTATATCTATGAGTATGTACAGTTAACATGTATTAATTTTAAAATGTTTTAATACAGTGTCATAAAGCTTTCCCCTGTTTTCTTCTTCAGTTCTATACTTTTAACTTTTATGGTAACTTCTTTGATCTACTTTATGTTGATTTTTGAAAAGAAAGAAAACAATTTTCATGTCTTGGTTTAAGAGAATGAGAGGGGGCTGGGGTTGTGGCTCAGTGGTAAAGCACTTGCCCATGTGTAAGGCACTGCATTCAATCTTCAGCACTACATTAAATTAATTAATTAATGTTAGGTTTTTTTTAAAAAATGAAAGATGAGAGATTTGTGTGTTTACTTCTTGGTGGGGGTGAATATTAAGACCAGGAAAGAGTAAGATTAGTACAAGGTAGTGGACCGCATGAAAACCAAACAACAACAAAAAAAACAGAGTCAGTGATTCATCTTGTTATGAGACCACTAGAAGAGGGGTCTCAAATGAGTAGTTGATCCCTTTAGTTGGTTGAGGTTTGGAAAGAAGAATTTATTTATACAAAAAGAATTCTGTTCTTTTTTTTATTTTAAAGTCTTGAACTTCAGCATTAGAAAGTATATAAGAGCCAACCTTTAAGAATTTGAGAATGCTTTTTCTGCATAGATTTTCGATTTTGTTAATCTCTTAATAGACTGTATATTAACATTAGTATAATAAATATAAACAGTCTCTAAGCTAATAATGTTCATATAATAATGCCCATGTTCATCCTCTTTAATTATCTAGGACTTTGCACATTCTATGTCCTTTACTGAAAACACTCTAACCCACTCTTTCTTTACTATCTTAGCTATATACGTTCTGTAAATTCACTGCTAAGGCACTAAGTACTTTCTCATAGGAATTAATTTTTGTCTTATTTACCATTGTTATTCTGCAGATGCTTAATAACGGTTTATTAAAATACAATCTTCTGTTTCTTTGTGCAGATATCAATTTTTACTATGTACATATCTGCCTCATGTGTAAAATATTCAGAAAATATTAATAGAATTCAGTTTTCCAATTGTTGGGATGAGTATCGACTCTTATAATTAAGACGTGCCTCTTTAGTTGTTTTCTAGTGATTTTTTCCCCCCCAAGGGACACAGGGAATTGATCAGGGGCACTTAACCACTGAGCCACATCCCCTAGACGTTTTATAATAAATTTAAGGGGAAAAAGAAACAAAGGCTAAAGATTTTGAGTTTGGGTACAGATCTTTGCAATATTATCAAATAACCTGTATTTGTCCTGTATCCTGGTAGAGAATATGTATTCACAGAATGCAAAAAGGTATTTAAAAATGACTACCAACCTATTGTCTGATTCAGAAGAGAATTAATATTAATTAAAAGACTTAGATCAGCCCAAAAGGAGCTGTTGATGGCTTTGAATTTGAAGAGCTTTACGCAACTGAAATTCATCTTTTTCTCAATTTTATTTAATTAGCAATCACTAAACATTGCATGTGTCAGGATAGATCATAGGATTAATACTAAGTGTGAGAAGTAGGTCCAGGAAGAATGTGTGGTCCAATTAAGAGCATACATTGCCTTAGGAAAGCAACCCATGATGAAAGTCTGCTTTTGGATTTCACAGACATTTCATAATACATTCTTGTGTCAGGATTCCTGCACTGACATCGGTATCCATGTTAACTGCTGTATCATCTTCCTCCAGTCTGCCTAGCCACAGTGCCCAGTCATGTTTGGGAGGATAGTGTGGTGGCTGAAGAGATTGAAACCCCTTTGAGTCAAACAGACCTGATATTTTAGCATGGCTCTGCTATATCTACTGTATCAGTTTCCATGTCTACTATATATCTATTATCAGAGTTATTATGAAGATTAACTAATAATCTGTATAAAATGCTAAATTAGTAAAAGTGCCTAGCACTTAATAAGTGCTCAATGAAAGGTTAGCAAGAAAGATTTCATTATTGTTCTTTTCAGCAGTTGGTCAAGATCTATGTCCTATTGCCTCAGATAGACTCTAACACTAACAATATTTATACATCTTTGTTCTTCTCGCATTTTCTGTGTATGGTTTCTCCCTTGTATTTCTGAAAGCAGAGTTGTTTATTACAAATGATATCGTTTTTCCTTATGAAAACACAACTTTACATGATCTGTTGCCTTACTATTTCTCTGAACTTACCTTTTGCCACTCCCTTTTTTCCTCTAGTAACATTGGTCCCCCTGCTGTTTCTTGAGCACACCAAGTATATGCCTACCTCGTGGACTTTTGCTTAGAATGTTCTCCCTCAAGAGAGACCCATGAAACTCATGATTCATGAATCCCACATCATTTAGCCTCTTTAAATGTCCATCACTTCAGAAAGAGCTTCTATCTAAAGAATTACCTTTACACCTACTTTTCCTCTTTGTTTCTTCATATCACTTTTCACCATCTTAACATTATTTTTTGCATTTATTCCCTGTCATTCTCCCTTTCTGTAATGTAACTTCCCTTAAATTAGTCTGTTCACTGCTCTATCTCCAGTGCCTAAAACAGTACAAAATAGGCACTTATTATTTGTTAAATGAATGATTTAAAGGTTTGGGGGTTGTCAAACCTACACATGAAAATTACTCTGTAAAGATTATTCTAGAAGTAACTTAATTACTTCTTTTTACTAAAATAAAAATCTTAAAAGTTTTTTTTTTTTCCTTTAGAAAAATGTTGACTGTGGAGCAATAGAAAAACTGTCTCTTCGTAAACAGCGGTTCATGCAGTTTTCTTCACTAGAACATGAAGGAGAATATTATATGACACCACGAGACTTCCTCTTTTCTGTAATGTTTGAGCAAATGGAACGTGAGTTTTTGCTTTTTGTTTTTACATTTAAAAAATAAACCGCAGAGCTAGAAAACCTACTTTTCAGAGTTGGCAACAGCTTTTCTTTATTTTAATTGTCATTCTTTGTACCATGCATTTACTTATTATGGATTTTTCAAGTGCAAATGTTTATATTTATCTATCTTAGAAATGTTGTTTTGTCTATGGGTTTTTCTATGGAGGAAAAAACACATAAGTTTTTAAAAGCCTCTAAATTTATTCTTAATAATTAACATCCATTAATTATTTGGTGGTATTTATGTTTTTAATTGGCAAAAACAAATAAAAATAGATTAGAGATGTTAGGAGAACCACTTAATGGAGTCATTAGTCATGATATGGGTAGAAAATCTTGAAGAAATATAATGGGAATTAAAATTCAAAACCTATAATTATATAATTTTATTTCATAAACAACAAACTCAGTTATTCCAAGTGGTATCAAATTCTTAATTCTGTATCTAAACTAGTCCCTTTCACTTTGTAGAGAACAGATTTGTGCACATATGTTGCAGAAGTAGTCTATGGAAAACTTTCAAGGTGCTCTGTAGTACTCCCTATAAATAGGTATCTATGCAACAACTGAAATGGGTGAGGGCAAGATGAGCAGTCAGAGAAGTATAGATCAAATTGGAAAAGATAAAGAGGACTTAGAAAGACATAATAAATACTTTGGGATGATTTGAAAAAACATCATAATATATGCTAGGGGCAATAAGTTTACCAATCACAAAACTAAAGGATTACTTTTGGCAGTAATGAGAGATGAAAATGAAAAACAAATAAGGGCCAAAGATTTCAGTGATCCTCTCTGATCCTCAGAGCAATGTGTATTTGGCAGGGATTTGTGGGCTTCATCTTGAATCAGTGAGGGAACAATGAAAGTTTGTGAGTAGGAAAATAAGTTGGTAAACATGTGTTTAGGTTATTTTACTCTGGCTTATTTGGAGGGAAGGTTAGCAGTATATATCAAAAACTTAAAAAAAAAATATTGACCTAAATATTGACTACATCAGTGCAGTAAGTTCACTAAGTAAATAATGAGATGCGAAAAGAGTTCTTTTAAAAAGTAGTTTAATCTTTGGGCGCAATGGTACACACCTGTAATTCTAGCAGCTCTAGAGGCTGAGGCAGGAGGATCATGAGTTCAAGACCAGCCTTAGCAATTTAGTGAGACCCTAAGCAACTTAGTGAAATCCTATCTCTAAATAAAATATGTAAAACGGGTTGGGGATGTGGCTCAGTGGTTAGGTGTCCTTGGATTCAATCCCTAGTACCCAAAAAAAAAGTAGTTTAATCTCCCTAACACTTGATAAACTCAGACATTTGTGTTTCCCGCCCAGCAAAAAAAAAATTATTAAAAGGCTTAAAGATAGAAAATCAACAATTCCTCAGATTTGTCAGAAAATTGAGGGCACATTGATGTAAATAGTACAGACAAGCAGATATAGAGAATCAGAGTTTGCCCAGAGCAGAAACCACCCAGAACCCACCATTGCAACAATGTCAGGCAAGAATATTAAAGGGTAATTGACTACTACCTGAGTGTGGACCAGCTTGACTGATAAAAAGCTCCTAAAGACCTAGCTGTAAAGATACCCATATTCTTTTGAGTTTTACTTTGAGAGCCCTAACAGGTTCTCAGAAGAAAAATCCAAGGGAAAAAAACCTCTCTTCCTTCTTTCAGGGGATGGGGAAAATGGCCATTTTTTAATATCCTCCCAAAGCATCTCATTCTCCTTAACAAAAGCCTCCATAGACTCTCTACTACTACACAGCCCCGCTGACTGAGAACATAAAAATTCCCAATTCCAGCCCCTTCTAGCCTTCTTGTCTTAAAACAACAACAACCAAAAAGGATTTTTTTACAGGCATTGCCCAAGGCACAGTTTTAGTTACTAAAACACTGAGAGCTGGTCATCTAGGCTATATAACATATCCATACACCTTACCACCACATCAGTGGAGCCCTCTATGTAAATACAGCAAATAGTAAAAATAATCTAATCCTAGCCAGATAAACAAAAAAGTCTTTCTACCTCAGTAATTTTTACCCAATGCACCATGTCTGACCCAATGAAAAAGTCACAAACCTTGCTGAAAGAAAAAAGTACACAAAGGACAAGGCAAACATCAGTGCCAGATGAAAATGCAACTGACATTTTGGAATTATCAGACCAGGAATCTAAAATAACCGTGATTAATATATTAAGGGCTCTAATGAAAAAAGTGCACAGTGTTCAAAAACAGATCTTGAATGTTCCCCCAAAGGCACGTGTGTTTCAGGCACTGTTAGAAGGTGGTAGAACCTTTAGGAGGTAGGGTCTAGTGGAAGGAAGTTAGGCTATTGGGGACATGCCCTTGAAGAGGATATTGGGACCCTGGCCCCTCTTCTTTATCTCTTCACTTTCTGTCACCATTAAGCAGCTTTGGAAGCACCATTATGTACTTCCAGCCGTGATGTTCTGCCTTACTACAAACCTGAAAGAAATGAGACTAAATTGATCATGGGTTGAAACCTCCAAACCGTGAGCCAAAATAAACCTTTCCCTTTATAAGTTTATTGTGTCAGGTTATTTCAGCACAGTAATGGAAAAATGACCAACACTGTAAGGTAAGCAGAGAGGAATAAACAGAACAAATCAGAAAGAAGTGTTGGAATAAAAAACTATAACAGGAATGAAGGATGTCTTTGGCTCATCAGTATAATCAATGGATGAGGAATGAATCTGTGAGCTTGAAGATATGTCAATTGAAGCTTCCCAAATTGAAAAGCAAAGAGGAAAAACAGAAATTTCAAGAACTATGGATGATTACAAAAGGTACAACATAATGGGAATACCAGAAGAAAGAGGAAAAAGAATAGAAGGCATATGGAAATAATAATAATCAACAAACAGTAAACCACAGAGTCAAAAAGCTTACCAAACTCCAAGCAGAATTAATATCAAAAAATACCTGGACATATTAAACTGCAGAAAGTTAAAGGAAAATAAAATGTATTGAAAGAAGTCAGCAGGGAATAAAACACTTTACCTAGAGAGAAATAAGGTTAAGAATTATATCCTTCAGGACTGTAAATTGGTGCAGCCAATATGGAAAGCAGTATGGAGATTTCTTGGAAAATTGGGAATGGAACCACCATTTGACCCAGCTGTCCCTCTCCTCTGTCTATACCCAAAGGACTTACAGGGACATAGCCACATCAATGTTTATAGCAACACAATTCACAATAACTAAACTATGGAACCAACCTAGATGCCCTTCAATAGATGAATGGATTAAAAATGTGGCATATATACACAATGGAATATTACTCAGCAATAAAAGATAATAAAATCATGGCATTTGCAGGTAAATGGATGAAGTTAGAGAAGATAATGCTAAATGAAGCTAGCCAATCCCAAAAAAACAAATGCTGAATCTTTTCTCTGATATAAGGGGGCTGATTCATAGTGGGATAGGGAGCAGGAACATGGCAGGAATAGAGAACTCTAGATAGGGCAGAAGGGTGGGAGGGGAAGGGGCATGGTATTATTAATCATGGTGGAATGTAATGATCATTATTATACAAAGTACAGGTATAAAGACATGAATTGGTGTGAATATATTGTGTATACAACCAGAGATATGAAAAATTGTGTTCTGTATATGAAATAAGAATTGTAATGCATTCYGCTGTGATATATAAATAATAAATAAATAAAAGAATTATATTCTGCTTCTTTTCATAAATCACGTAAGCAAGAAGAGGGTGAATCAAATATTTTAAGCATGGAAAGAAAAATCCACCAACCTAGATTCTATGTTTTGTGAAATTATCCTTCAGAAGTGAAGACAAAATAAAGGCTTTCTCAGACAAACAGCAGTTGAGGGAATTTAATATCAATAGGATTTGCTTTATAAGAAATTTTCAGGTTCTCCAGAGAAAAGGAAAATAACATAGGCTAGGAATTTAGATCCACATGAAGAAAGGAAGAGAATTAGATGAAGTCAAATCATTTATTTATTTATTTTTCTGTCCTGAAGAGAACTAACATAGCAGTTCATTCAAAATAATAATAGGGAATACCCTATTAAAAGGTACTCATACGTGGGGCTGGGGTTGTGGCTCAGTGGCAGAGTGCTTGTCTAGCATGTGTGATGCACTGGGGTTGATTCTCAGCACCACATGCAAATAAATGAATAAAATAAAGGTCCATCAATATTAAAAAAAAAAGATACTTATACAATTCATGAAGTGACATAGTATTATTGTATTATTTCAAAGTGTTCTTTAGTTGTAAATGTATATTGCAACCACTAAAAAATTTTGTTAAAGATATAGAATTGTCATGCTAAGAGGAGAAAAAAAATCAAATTATGTTAAATGCTCAGTTAAAACCAGAGAAGGCAGCTAGGCATGGTGGCACATGCCTATAATCCCAGCAACTTGGGAAGCTGAAGCAGAAGGCTTGCAAGCTTGAGACCAACCTCAGCAACTTAGCAAGGCCCTAAGAAACTTAGTGAGATCTTGTTTCAAAATAAAAATTAAAAGGGCTGCGTATGTAGCTCAGTGGTTAAGCACCTCTGGGTTCAACCCAATATTAAAAAAAAAAAAAAAACAGAAGTCAGAAAGTGAGGGAAGACAAAAAGAAAAACAAAAAAGGGCAATAAATAGAAAACATTACAGATGTGTTGGATTAAAAGTGAAGGGATAAAGAAAGATATACAATACTAACAATAATCGAAAGAACACTGGAGGGCTGGGGGTTGTGGCTCGGTGGTAGAAAGAGCACTTGCCTCACATGTGTGAGGCATTGGGTTCGATCCTCAGTACTGCATAAAAATAAATATATTGTGTCCACCTACAACTAAAAATATTTTTTAAAAAAGAAAGAAAAGAAGAAGAACAACAACAACAACAGTGGGCTGGGTGTAGAGGTGTACACTTATAATCCCAGTGGCTCATGAGGCTGAGGCAGGAGGATTGCAAGTTC